TACACTGGCCCCTTTTCCGGAAGGGGCATGTTAATTTCAGCTATCGTAATAGGGAAATCCGCGGGGGATTTAAATATCCCCCGCGGCATTTAAATAAAAATGTCCGCTGCTTTTTTCCGGCTTTTAGAAAAGCCGGAAGAGAGCGTCTACACTGGCCCCGATCCTCCGGAAAAAGCGCCCTTTTCCGGAGGATCTTATTCCTACTTCAAAGTAGGAATAAGATCCTCCAGAAAAGGGCTTTTTTTCCGGAGGATCGGGGCCAGTGTAGACGCTCTTTTTCGGCTTTTCTAAAAGCCGGAAAAAAGCGGCAGACATTTTTATTTAAATGCCGCGGGGGATATTTAAATCCCCCACGGATTTCCCTATTACGATAGCTGAAATTAACATGCCCCTTCCGGAAAAGGGGCCAGTGTAGACGTAGCCCCTATGTCTAGGAGGAATAGACTCAACAGTCACATGATATAGGGTGTGACTCTATGGATACTGCTTCACAAAGTTCCCTGGCATCAGTTTATGGGTCTCCCACATCTAAGCTACATGGCTGCACCTACCCAAAGAAGAATGGCATTTGGCTGAAGTTTGAGGCCAGCCCCTGAAAAGTAGGTGGACACAGTGGCCCTTGGCATAGAGACAGAGCAGCAAGAAAACTTTATCCCTTAGTGCAGCCAAGTCAAGTTTGAGTTAGAGGCCTTGCAACCTGATGCTTGGGTCGCAGCACCATTGACAATTGTGGATATTAGTAAGTTGCAGTGTATGTTAAACATTGCTGTTTCTGGTCTGCAGTTTTTTATAGCTTTACTTATAAACCTCTCTCCCAGCCTGGGGTTGCCATTCTGTGCAGAATAGCCTACAATGAGTGTACCCAGCCATGGAACTCGCCCTCCCACCCTGCAGCATTAAAGGCTGCCAGAAGCCTTGGGTGATGAGAGGAGTTTCAGCATGAGGGTGGATTCAAAATAGGAGACAGGCCTACTGGCCTCATTTCAGGTGGGTGGTGGTCTAGGAGTTATCTCTGCAAAAGAAAACAGATCACTATCCTGGCTTGTCTCGAGTCTGAGTTACATACAGAGATGGGCCTCTCTACTCATTGTGAATTACCTGGCAGGGTTGAGGCAGCTAGCTGGGAGGGCTGGTGCACCCAGAAAGATTACATTTCATTAATTACAAGTGTGGCTACCTTCAATTGCACAGGCAGATGGTGCCCACACATGGGTATATTGTACTTGGCTACCTCTTAAATCATGGCCAGACTAATTTATTAGTAAAGACAAATCAAGAAATGGAGGAGATGGATAGATCTTGAACCAATGCAATAGGGTTTCTTTTGCAGGGAGGCTTGGACATCAGAATGAGACCTGAAAATGAATTTGGATTGGGATATCCAACAGGGCAAGGAGTGTTGGTTGGATTTGAGAGTAAAAGTCATATACTCTGGGAACTTTTTGTCATATTACTTGTGATTATCTGCAGGGACAAGGTTAGGAGCAAGAGAGGTGATTCTGAAATAAAAACCACATAGTGATCCATATTGGTAACTGCATTTATCAAGTCAATCAGAGACGGGCAGAATTCAGGAGATAGTGTGGAGCTCACATGGGTATAGCACATTTTGCAGGAAGATACTGGGTTATTGGGCTGCTACTCTATTATCAGGTTTTAGTTAGGCTATTATCAGATCAGAGCTATTTTTGGTCAGCAAGGAAGAATCCAGATAGGGCTTTGGAGTTTAGGGACCTATAAACTGATTCCAGGGGAAGAATCTGACATGTTCACGCTCAGTGAGAAACAACCAATGAAGGGCTGGCTAGGTGAGTCATAGAACTGATTGGCCCAACTCCTATAAGGCAAAGCTGCTATAAATGTCTATGGGGGCCAAGCGTTCAACTAATTTTTACACTTATTTCTACCTTCAGAAAAGTGGCCAGTTGGTGGTAGCTTTTTAGGGAGTTACACAAAAGTAAATGAATTACACAAAAAGAATAAAATTAATGTTCTTCTCTACTTGTGATTGATCAACTAGATTTGGAATCTTCCTACTACTGATGACAACTTCCTGGAAGATGCTGAAATGGCAATGACCATAAATTTAACTATAAGCAGCTTCTGTCCTTTCTCTGTTCAAGGAGATCAGCTATTGATTAATCACTTATTGTTTAACAATTTTAAGATTATGGCTCTGAAGTTATTTATGAATGTTTATAACTATCTCATTTACAAGTCTTGAAGAGGTCCCCTTTGCCCCTTTTACTACTATCAGAAATGTCTTGAGCATGTGAAGTGAAGTCTATGATAGGTACCAAATATGCCTTTACTGTAGTAGGCATTATTAACTTTTATGATTAATGGAAGCCTCAGTATTCCCCAAATCCAACACTTCATAATCAGTGTGAATCCCCAACTGCATCAGTCAGCCAGAACTGCCAACAGATTACATTTTGCAAAGTATGTTCTAACGCATCTTCTTATGTTCCCTGGCACAACAAAACCTCTTTCTTTCCTCTTATTCACTCCTGAAGAGTGCTTGTTCAATTCAGTAACTGGAACTGCAGCTTCAATAAGTGGACATGCTGACTACAGAGACCAAGCTAAATGGTACTTCAGTAACATTTCTTTAGTCTGATTAAAGATAGAATTCTCCTTTGGAAAAAAAACCTAACACTGTGTATTAAGATTATAGTTAACATACACAGTGGGCCAGAGACTATCTTTGTGTATGTATGCATAGCTACACTGAGATACCCCAACATATGCCAGCTGAGGAACTTGCTCAAGGTTTTGGAACATTAGAAGGCATTGCCTTCAAAGGAGAATTCTTATTAATATATATGGGTTTATATGGACTCAGCTAAAAACATTTTGTCTTGGGAAAAGAATCAAAGATAATACATAATGCATGGACATGATATACGGAATAGTGACAGAAGTAGCAGAAAAACCTAAGCCGAAATAGGAGAACATGCCTACTCACAATTATTGGACCACTATAGTCAGGTCAATTTAGAAACAGATGTAGTTAAAACAGTATAACCTCCAAGTGTGGACATAGTTATACCATTATAAAAGTGCTTATATAGTTATAGCTTATATGTAAATTTAATTGAATAAACTCTAGAGCTTAGCTACTCAAGAAGTTACTATGTAGAAAGGCATGGTGTGAAACAGCGATGTACCAGCTCATGTACTAATATCCCATGCTGATATTGCTACAGTAGAGTGAAAATTTCCAGGTGCAGCTTGGCATAGAACCTGAAAGCTTTGTATTCCCAGCTGCACTCTGGGAGTTTGTCTATAATTTGACAGTGTCATCGTAAGATTGTGCTGCACGGCAAGCTGGTGAGATGTATATTCACATCCTGGCTTTGCGTATAGTAACTTGCCATTTAGATAGGCCCTTATAGTTAAAGCACTACAAAACCTGTGTAGAAAATGGCACTACGTTTCAACTGACAAGCATCATGTTCCTCTTCAATCTGTCTCTCAGAAAAAAAAAGACAAGCTTTGATCCCACGAAAAAACCTTAGAAGTGACACTAATAAGTGCTCCAAAATACACATAAAGCTTCAGACTAGTCTCATAGGATTGCACAAGGAAAAGTGGTAAGAATTCACTTCAAGACTGTTGAAAAAATTTAGTTTTATTGAAATAAGTATCTTAAACATTAATTTGCAGGATCATTGCTAATTCTTGTGAGACTGTAGAAAGCCAGAATTCAGTACTGAATAATTTAATGTAAAAGATTTTTCTTTACAAGTACAAGAAGACTTGCTTAAGAAAGTATTTTACAGAATTTTTATATTTTAAAACCAATCCTTTTAAAGTGGGGACTAGTTTCTCTTTCCTGTGAACAAATTACTAAATTTAAGAGCACTGTGAATCTGAGGTGTCCATACTCAGAGTGTATATATGCATCATCATTGGATTTTACCTCTGAATGCCCAAATAGTCATGCACTACCTTTAGATGACGTACCTCAATTTTGGAATAATATCCGTAATTTTGAAATAAAAGGTGACTTATTTTGGTGTTTGTAAACCTCATTCCACGAGGAATAAAGCGTCTTCCAAAATAGCTATTTCAGAATAGCAGTAGTGTGGACGCTCCACTGCTGCTATTTCAAAATAGCTTCTCCCCTAGGCCGTTCAAAGTAATTATTCCCCAGTGCTTCCTGGGGCTCTAAATTGAGGTAGCACATCACATTAGGGGAATCTGCCTCAGACTAATTTCCAGGCTTCTCTGTACTGTAGACGTGCTATTTTGAAATAAACTATAAAACGTAGAGAATTATAGGCACTGGAAGAAATCTTAATCTAATTGTTTTCTATTGTAAAAAATTATTATAGTATTATTGCTTAGCCTTAATCATAATCTACATAAACTTCTTGCAAGACTATAGTTAGTATTTCTTACATGACTAGAATATTGTGTGCATTCAGACTTGATTCACAGATTCTCTTTCAACTGCTGATTAGATAAATTGTCTGCAATGGATGAATAAAATTGATAACTAATGATATTGAATGTGAAAAGAACTCAGGGTTAAAATTAGTATGGAAATGCTCTTTGCCTCAGTCATTGGATTAATGGATTAATATTAACTTCATACAAATAATATTTATTAATATTAGCTAAAGTTACAATTTCAATCTAATTTGTTATAGTCTCGCTAAAATCAGCTGGCATCCTTAATTTTTGTAAATTTGATTTCTGTCATTTCTTCACGCTTAAAGTCACTGATGTCATCCACATCATAAAGACATGTTATACTTTGCACAATACACAGAAGTATGAAAACACGCTTTCCATGGTTGCTGGAAAGATGCTGTTGCAAATTAAGTTAACTGATGAAGGTGGGAGTGGAAAGGTGGTTTGGATGAGTTTCAGTGTGATAAGTAAGCATTACACAGAAAATGTTGGTTGCTATAGTACGCAGTCCACTGAACTATTAAAACTAGGAGCTGGCAGGTAGGAGACACACATGAGAACAGGAAGCTAACCTTTACCTCAAATCAGCAACAGAATGCCTTCTCCTTTTCTTGTCTTCCATATCCAGTTTCTTTTCAGTGTGCCCCGTTTGGTCATCTAATTCCCATGATATCCTTCTTTCTTTTTTGACATCATTTTTGCAGCTCTCTAAGGACTTTGACCTTTCCATAGTCATAACATGCAGGCATGCAAAATTAAATGTAGACAACTCGAATTGAAAATAATGAACTACAGATGCTAACTTTAGATTTACCTGACGAAAGATGACACATTAAAATGACTTTAAATTTCAGTAAGAAACACTATTTGACTGAATACAGTAACCAACTGTAAGTTAAATCTGAAAAGGAATTATGGGTTATTTAATTTTAAAGATTTCATTCCATAGGCTCTGACTCATTGTCAGTACAGGCAGTCCCTGGGTTACATGGATCCGACTTACATCGGATCCCTACTTACAAACGGGGTGAGGCAACCCCGCACTAGCTGCTTCCCCCCAGCAGACCAGGGAGACGGGAAGCTAGTGCCCCCCCCAGCAGACTAGGGAGACACAGAGCGGCTTTTCTCAGCAGACACTTCAGCTTGAGAATAAAGGACTGAGGGAAGTAAGGTGTGGGAGAATAAAACTGAGCTCTGGAGAAATATTTGGCTAGTGTTTCCCCTACAATATGTACAAGTTCTGACTTACATACAAATTCAACTTAAGAACAAACCTACAGTCCCTATCTTGTACGTAATCCGGGGACTGCCTGTATGTGAAAAAGAAAAAATCTGAAAGAGAGATACAGTTTGTTCTACAAATTTTAAAAATTAAGTAGTATGGCCTGATCCTGCAACGTTTACTCATGTGATTGATTACACTGACGTCACAGAGCTTATATTGCTCAAGGAACACTCACGTGACTAAGAACCTGAATCTGCAAAGACGTACTTGTGAATAATTTTAATCATGGGAGCTGTCTCACTAAAATGAATAGGTTTGCTAACTTCAGGAAAGTGAGTCCTGTGTGCAAATTCTTGTAGGATTGGGCTTAAATATCACAATATTCAGTCTAATTATAATGTCTGATCCCACAATTCTGGCATGAAATTCAGTCCTGCTCAAATCATTTGAGCCAGAATTTCGCTCTGATACCTCTCACTAATTTTAATGGGAGTTTCAGGAGTGCAAGATAGTCAGGATCCAAATCTCAGTTTGGAAAAACAGCAATTCAAATTAAGAATATTTATGCAAACCCTTCTTTAAAAATCTGCATTTTTACCGAACAATACTGTATTTATAATTATCAATACTGTAATTATAATTATCATTATTTTGTATTTTGTTCATGGTACTATAATATGAGTCAGGACTGGAAGCAGTTCTAGGTGAAGCCTGGACAAGGAAAACTCCCAGCCTAACCAAAGAAATCTGATTAGGGGTCAATATCTGACAATATTTGCAATGGGATCTCTATGAAAGATTAGCACCTACATTATGGACTTTGACACCAGGTGGCATTTTGAGTTGAAATATGTTTTTGGATAGCTCCAGAGGAAATTGGAATGGGAGTTGACTTGGTCAGCATGCTATCCTGCAGAAGGAGCAGACCATTGGTGACCCGAGAAGGAGGGATGCTACAAAGAAAGAACCCCTGCAATGCCTCTTCCTGACATGAAAGGATGCTCCGTAGGTGAATGCACACCATAATGCTCCCAGTGACTTGAGTGTAGCTGGATCAAACCACTAAGGCCGTGTCCACACTCAGGGTTTTTTTCGGGAAAAGTAGCCTTTTCCCGAAAAAACTTCCCCTGCGTCCAGACTCAAGCCGCGTTCTTTCGAAATTATTTTGAAAGAACGCGGCTTTTCTTTCGATGGCGGTAAACCTCATTTCACGAGGAAGAACGCCTTCTTTCGAAAGCTCCTCTTTCGAAAGAAGGCGTTCTTCAATGTAAAGAGGCCGTCTTCGAAAGAGAGCATCCAGACTCGCTGGGTGCTCTCTTTCGAAAAAGCGGATTTCTCTTTCGAAAGATCCGCCTGCAGTCTAGACGCGATCTTTCGAAAGAGGCTCTTTCGAAAGATGCTTTCGAAAGAGCCTCTTTCGAAAGAAGCCTTCAGTCTAGACATAGCCATAGTGAGGAGCTCTCTAGAAGTTGGAATGCAGAGTTTGTAAAATATTTTAGATATTATTTTTTTCAACTGAAAACAGATGTTAATTAATCAGTATCACATGACTTGTTGGCTATAATTTTTGAGATATAGGGAATAATGTTCTTAGTTAAATGCCCTGTAACATCACAGGCAGAACTAGCCAGCTATGTGCTCCTTCATTTGAAATAGGAAAGGAAAATATTAACATGTAAATAATCAAAACAATATTATTAATAACTTATTCCTCAGACAGTTTCATGTTATATACCAGTATTTATATCAGAATGTATTTTAAAAAACAATCTCAGGTTCTGATACAAAACATGCTCAGTATAGCATGAACGTACCCTCTCATTGCTATTGCACCAAAAGGTATATTCATATCCCATTGATACACTTGATTTTCAGAAATCAAAAGGAAACACTGAATGAAATTACATATAAGGAATCCAAGTAATGGAATGCCCTTTTCATTATTTTATTCCTTATTTAGGGCCATGTTTTGTTACAATATAGTGAATAACACCTTGCACCTCAAATAATCTTGAATAGTTAAACCCAGCTCTTAAAGTTGTTGATTTGAAAACAAGGTAATCAGATTAAAAAAAAAAAAGAAAACCAGCTTCTGGGGGTAAAAATTAATCTCCTTAAACAAACCCAATCTCTGCTCATATTATGTAAGCAAAGAGCAACACAGTCAATGTGGGACTAGTGAAATTACGTTCATGAGAAAGATGAGCAGAACTTAGTTCCATTTCCTGGATAGTCTATGGAAAATGAAAGATTTATGTTCCAAAATGCACTAGAACTTGTAGTTATAAAAATTCTATAAAGAGGCATGTGTTTGAAAGAAATAACTAAAATGAATAGACACAGAACTCCTGATTTGTTTGCTCTAACAACAGAAAGGATTTGTCAGTATTTCTGGATAAGTCCTATTTGAATGGTAATGAGATTAATTTATAGCCAAAACACATCAAAGCAAGTTATGGGATTCTTAAGGCTACACATACACAGCTAAAACCCTCCCTATCTACAGGGGGAAGCGTGTGTTTGCGTGTGCCCACATGCACATACATACACACTCACAACATAGGCACAGTTGGGCACTGCACTGTAACTCAAAATAAGATATGCAATTTGAACTATGCAAATTTCATATCTTATTTTGATGATATTTCAAAATAGCTTATTTCATCATTTGTGGCTGTCTACCCAGTGCCAAATTTTGAAATAAAGCACTATTCCGAAATGTTCCTTGAAGTTTACAGTGATATTAGAATAGCGAGCCTGAAATAATGGGCTTGTTGTGAAGACATAGGATAGCTATTTCGGGATACTCCAGTATCCTGAAATAGCGTTGCAATGAGGAGGTACCTTTACAGAAAACATATTTGATTTATTGGTGAAATGAAGAGGTAAATCTGGCAACATTTAATTTTTATTTTGGGTTGTGGGGGGATTTTTGTGTATAACTAAATCCTTTTATGGAAAAGACCAAGTACAGCAAACTGACACATTACCACTTATATGCTTTCTGACAGTTTTTTCCTTTATACAAACTCAAGAAACAATCTTTCAGTTATGCAACTGTTTGATGGTCACTGAATTTCTTTTTAAACTACAGCTAGTTGACTTGCCTAATAACTTTGATCCTACTAGGTGAAGAGTTCTCTCAAGTGTCTTTGATCTTAAAGGAGAAATAGTCCCTTTGGCCATGATACTGCACAGATGGTGGTGTGGGCATGTGGGCAGCATCAAGATATCTTTGAGCAACACAAAGGAATTAGGCCCCCAAGATCAACAAGAAGGAATTAGGCCCTACTCTATTATAGCATGCAAGTAGTGCCACTTAAATGCTTTGCTGAACCAGATCTTTAAAATGCTAATTTCCAGCTTGCTCTAAGTTTGGGTTCCTCTTTGTGCAAATATAAAAATCTGCTATAGTTCTGTCCAAATTTTTTGTTTACCTGTTTTAATAGCTAGATGCCACAGTGGAAAAAAAAAGTTCATTTCACAAAAAACTTAGAATGATCACGTGTGTTTATGCATGTATGTATGTTTTCATATATATATATATGATATTCATATGATAAGATCTAATAAAATGTATTTAAACTGTTTTATTTTTACACCACACAAGAAGGTTTGATACATTTAAAATACCATCATAAACTCACCTGATTCTGCCCCTAGGGCGCTCAGATTGCTCTGACATAAAGCTTGTGCTGCTGAGGCGTGAGGCACTGCTGGTACGGGAAATGGCTGACACATCACTGACATCACTATCTGATGATTTGGCAGAGACGTTATCACAACTTCTGTACTGATCTGTTTGTATGTTATACTAAAGATTAAAAAAGAAAGTGTGAGGTTTCCTTTGAAAATGAAACATACTCAGAGAACAAATGATGCGGACAATACTTTTAAACTCCTGAATTATACAGTAAAGTCCCAATAACTTCAGAAAAGTGAATATATTTATAATACAATCTTGAAAAAAAACTGAAAATACTATTTTAGAGGGGTAGTTGTATCAGTCTGTTTCAGCAAAAATGAGAAGTCCTGTTGCACCTTAAAGACTATCAAATTTATTTGGGCATAAGCGTTCATGGGCTGGAACCCACTTTGTCAGAGGCAGATGAAGTGGGTTCTAGCCCACAAAAGTTTATGCCCAAATAATTTTAAAAATACTATACGTTATTTCAAACAAATGGGCTCTGAGATGACAAAACTTGACTGTGATGCATGTAACACTAGAATTTTATTTTCTTTGTTACTTAGTACACCAAACAATAGTCTGTACAAATAAAATGTTTTAATCACTTCTAGAATTCTGTGGGGCCTGCACACCTATTTAGGACTCTTCTGAAGTTTCAAGATATGCCAAAGATCATGGATACTTTGGGATGTAACAAAAGAAGATCCTGAATTGACAAATCCATCCTCTCTAATAGTAAGTCGCAAATTATTTGAAATCTGAATCCTTAAATTTACTTGGATAAATGGTATTTGAATAAATAGAAAAGGTTATTTTAGCACAATAGCTAAAATAATGTAATACATACAGACCACCATGATATATCTATTTATTATTATTTTGAGAAAACACAGGCAATAAAAGTACTACTTTATATTAAAATAATCACTCTTCTGATTCTCAGATATCGTCTGACTTTATGGAAAAGCTATGAAGAAATTCTACCCAATAAATCCCGTAATTACTTTTTGTTCTGTGGTTTCACAAAAGTAAGACTTGTAAGACTTCCTTTAAAAAAAAACCCAATATGACCCATGCACAGGGTTTCAATCACGTTTTCAAATCCAATCTGTTTAGCTCAGGTCACTTGAGGATGTCAGTTTTTACATTCATGCGGTTTGGCTGATGGTGGTTGCGGTGTATGTGCGAGGGAAGGGGTTGGCCAGCTCAGTTTGTGGAGTAACTTCATAGTTTCTACTTTTAGATGAGAAAAGCATCATGGTGGGTGACAGGTACTATTTTTGCGGGCTGTCATTAGTTCATGCACTATCTGAACTGTCTTCTGTACTTTTGTGGATGTAGGGAACATAGGACCCAAACTGCAAGAGTAAATAGGAGTCCAGAATACAAGGCTGAAGGAAACTCCTCCCCCTCATTGTCTGCCAATCACATACAAATCTGCTGGTAAGAAAGGGGAAGAAGAATAGATAATACTTGTTGCTTATAACCTATGTGATACAAAATATGTTTCTTAAATATACTGAATTATGTTTCTTAGATATGTTTAACATTAGGGCACTATAATCAGAGTGGCTACGTCTACACTGGCCCCTTTTCCGGAAGGGGCATGTAAATTTCACCAGTCGTCGTAGGGAAATCCGCGGGGGATTTAAATATCCCCTGCGGCATTTAAATAAAAATGTCCGCCGCTTTTTTCCGGCTTTTAAAAAAGCTGGAAAAGAGCGTCTACACTGGCCCCGATCCTCCGGAAAAAGTGCCCTTTTCCGGAGGGTCTTATTCCTACTTCAAAGTAGGATCGGGGCCAGTGTAGACGCTCTTTTCCGGCTTTTTTAAAAGCCAGAAAAAAGCGGCGGACATTTTTATTTAAATGCCGCGGGGGATATTTAAATCCCCCGCGGATTTCCCTACGACGACTGGTGAAATTTACATGCCCCTTCCGGAAAAGGGGCCAGTGTAGACGAGCCCAGTGTATAATAAATCTGATGACAATCAGAAAGAGTCATTTTTAGAAAATTCAGTTATACTGGACACATCCTGGGTACGTCTAGACTACAGGCTTTTGTCGACAGAGACTACATTCAGTTCTGTCGACAAAGCAAGCTGCTTTGTTGACATAACAGTGTAGACACAAAGGACAGTGTAGATGCAATAACACCTTCTGTCGACAGAACGCAGTCAAGAAAAGGCGTTATTCCTCATAAAATGAGGTTTACAGCTGTCGACAAAACTACTGAGTTCTGTCAACATTATGTTGACAGAACTCAGTGGTAGTGTAGACGCGGTATAGTTTTGTCGACAAAAGTCCACTTTTTCGACAAAACCCTGTAGTGTAGACACACCCCTGAGTGTAACTAAGGATCAAAAACTCCAAAAGGTATCAGTGAATACTGCAGATCTTAGCATTTATTAAGATTAGACCTTATGGTTTATACTTATGTGTCTCTCATTAAGCACTTACTAGTATTATATAAGGAACTGTTAATTGCTTGAGGATTATAATAAATTGTCTTTGTCTTATGCTGATTTCTTCCATTAGAAAATTTGAGGTCTGTTATTAGGCTCTTGTTCTTCAGTAATCTGAGATTTATATTATGCGTGTGTGTGTATATATATGTATAAACAAACATATACACGTTCTTCATCATATACACATACAAGCACACACTTTTATACAAACTTTGTGACTCTTTTTCTCTCTCTTTCCATTCAAATACCTGTGAAATACTTTTAGTGAGACAAACCATACTAACAACTTGTATACAGGTAAATGTGAGAATGAGAACTATAGAAATGTAGCATTGAGGGATGATTTAAAAAAGTATGGCTTTTTTTAGAAGCAGGAGAGAGTATATTTCCCACCTTACAATGCCATATTTTACTTTTATTCTCCTTTTATTCTGTTTCTGAGGTGAGATGCGAAAATAAATATTTCTCTGGTTTCTTTCAGTCACAATTTCTTTATTTGCCTATTAGCAACATGAGATAAAGTATCAAAAAAGAATAACAGAATCATAGGGCTAGGAGGGACCACAAAAGGTCATCTAGCCTATCCCAAAAATGAGGGATTTATGATGTCTAAGTCATCCAACGCAGATGGCTATCTAGCTTCCTTTTGAAAATCTCCCGTGAAGGAGATTCTACAATCTTCCTAGGCAGCTTCATTGTCCTACTGTTCTGATAGTTAGGAAGTTTTCCCTGAGATTTAATCTAAGGCTGTGTCTAGACTACATCCCTCTTTTGACAAAGAAATGTAAATTAGACACGTCGAAATTGCAAATGAAGCGAGGATTTAAATATCCCGTGATTCATTTGCATAATCGTGTCATAGCACTCTTTCGAAAAAGCGCCATTTTGAAAGTAATACTGTGGTCTAGACGCAAATCTTTCGAAAACAGGAGGCTTTGTCAAAAGATCCTGTATGCCTCAAAAAAACGAGGTTTACAGGATCTTTTGACAAAGCCTCCTGTTTTCGAAAGATTTGCGTCTAGACCACAGTATTACTTTCAAAATGGCGCTTTTTCGAAAGAGTGCTATGACACGATTATGCAAATGAATCACGGGATATTTAAATCCCCACTTCATTTGCTATTTCGGCATTTCTAATTTACATCCCTCTGTCGAAAGAGGGATGTAGTCTAGACATAGCCTGAGTCTGCTATGCTGCAGTTTGAATCCATTGCCTATTGACCTGCCCTCTGTGGGAGTGGAAGGGGGGAAGAGAGAAAGAGAGAGAGAGAGAGAGAACAACTTTTCACCAGCTTTTTTATAGAAGCCTTTCAAGTACCTTAAGAACACTATATTGTCCCCCATTAATCTCTTTTTCAAACTAAACATAGCCAGTTCCTTCAAACTTTGCTCCTATGGCTCTGCATTCCATCTCCTCCATCTTTTTCACTAATCTCTGGATGTTTCTCTACATCCTTTCTATACATTGGTGACCAAAATGGACTCCAGCTGATGGTGCCAACTATACTCCAGCTGAGGCCTAACCAGTCCCCAGTAGAGTGGTATTATCACTTCCTGTGACTTGCATATGATGCGTCTGTTAATGCAACTCAAAATTGCATTTGCTTTTTTTGCAACAGCATTGCATCACAAATTCATGTTACAGTTGTGATCTATGACAACTCCCAGATCTTTTTCACCAGCAGCCAATTCTCCCCCATTCTATATTTATGCATTTGTTTTTTCTTCCCTAAGCGTAGCACCTTACATTTGTTTTGTTGAATTTCATTTCCTTTTTTCCAGTCCAGCTCTCCAGGTTAACGAAATCCCTCTGAATTTTACTTTTATCCTCCAAGGTATTGACAATCTCTTCCCCCAGCTTTGTATTGCCTGCAAATTTGATCTGTATGCTCTCTATATTGACATTCTGCCCATTAATAAAGATTTTCAACAATACTGAATCCAGAACTAAAATGTATTACATCTAAAGGTTTTTATCCTGTGTTTGTAATGTCAGAGCCTTCTGAATTGTTAGTACTTTGTGAACTAATTCTATTTGCAAACCAATTTGTAAACCAAACCCTGAAGCGTTCATACTGACCATTATCTGTATACAGGAATAGCTATATAAATTGTTCAGAATTTCAATCAAAATTGGAGCTTGTGAGAAGGATGTTGGCGATCTCTCTAAAGACAACTGAGAGGGAGACAGAGAGAAAGAGAGAGAGAGTTTCTGCAAATGAAAGAGGACAGAAAAAGGATTGGCTTAGAGAGGTAATTTTTCAACTCTATTCTGTAGTGAAACCAGCAGCAAGGCCCTGAGCAGAAAAATGGGCAGAGATGAGTAATAGCTGAGAATACCAAGAATCGGACAAGATTAGATGGCAATACATTTTCCTCTATCAAGCTCATATTTGCAGAAGCTCAGTATTATTTTAAATTGTGGGAATGAATTCTCTTCTTACTGTAGTTAAATGTAACACTCACAGAGGCTCACAAATTAGACAACTGCTCCCCAAATCCAATTTCTGTTACAAATTTAGGTCCTCAGCCTGCTCTTATTGATGTTCATGGCAGAACTCCCAGAATGTAATGGGGAATAGCAAGATACTGGTGTAAGAGCAACTAATTAATCCTTGCCCTGTCAGCTCCAACCAAAGGGAACTGATTGGTGCTGATGA